AAGTCACCTGTGTAGAAAATGAAGATTTAAAGATTCTGAGAAGCCTCCTCAGGCAAGAACCCACTCACGCCTCCCACAGAGTTGGGCAAATTTCAGTCCTGATTCTCAGGGAAAACCTCTGCTTTGCTTGGCCTCCTTTTGTACAGGGGAAACCACTATAAAGACCGGATTAGGGCCCCGTGCAGGGTCTGCACCCTGATTGCTCACACCTGAACCTGGCCAGGGCCCGCTGCTTTCAGCTCCCTGCTCTCTGTGGTTGGATTCTCCAAAGAACAGAGATAAATGGACATCACAGATAATGGACATCACAGAAGAGAGTCCATTATGAATTTAAACCCTGAAAACTAATTCACTCCACGGTTATATAAAAATTCTTCTGTACATTCTATGCCTCATGAAAAAATTAGTGTTTGAAAATACAGTAAAGGGGCCGGGGAGATGGCTCAGTAGGATAAGCGTTTGACTGGCAAATGCAAGGCTCTGAGTTCAATCCCCAGTTCCGCAAAAAAAAAAAAAGTAAGGAAGGAAGGAAGGACCCCCCGTTAAAAAAATGCATCTTGGGAATAGTGGGCAGTTAAGGGCAAATGGAAAGATCTCGATTTTGAGCACTTGAGCTCTGTCTCGTCCAACTCAATGATACAAACCTGAGTGGGGGACTGAGTTCTCATTAGATGCAGGAGGCTCCCTTTATGAGGCGCTGAGAAAGGTGCAGTGTATCAGTTATTTCAGCTGTATCCCATTGACGGATTGCAGATAATGTCTCGGTCATGATTTTTTCAATGTCCCTCTTCTATTACTGAGTTTTCTGCACTGTCGAGTAGAATATTTGCAGCCTGGATGGTCGCTGAGACCTCTGCGCTGGCAGCACACTGGGCATCACTTCGTTTTTCCGGTTGGCTTGCCTGCCGTAACGGGCCAGGCATCCTGCGTGTCTCCCCAGCCCTCCTCACAAAGCTCACGTGCACCTGCTCTGCTGAAGTGAACAGAGACACGCGGTCACCCCACAACACTTTTTAAGTTCTGGTGCAGTTCACGTCGTTTATCTAAGGAGTCTTTCGGCATCCTCCTGCAGTCCCAGTGAGTTTGCTCCCACAGCCCTTAGGAGATGCCAGAGTGGTGCAATTGTTTGAATTCAGAGACAACTTCAGACATTTTTATATTCAAAATGAGCGCT